TGCTTTGTGTACGTTGTGAGCTTGGCAGTGACCAGTGAAGTATCTGTATCTCGCTGTACAAGGATGATATGACAAAGTTGAAAAGGAATGGGTATATACGGCAACCTTGTCGAGCTCCACTGGAGACTGCGAAGGATGGTGAAAGATCTGATGACTTTGCCGCGTTTTGCATCGACTGCCTTTCCGTACTCTTTTGGTGTATGCTGGAAGAAATATCGCGGTGGCCAGAATATGGCATGTTGTAAGGGTACCAAGAAACCAGCTTCAGCTTAGGTTGGTGCAGCCAGCCCTCCAGGTTGTGGTCCAAAGAATGAGGATTTTCGTTTGTTAGAGACACTAAGAGTTATGGCGGGGAATGAAAGTCAGTGGCGCGAAGGCTGTGCGGTCTATCTTCTGAAATCCCTGGCCCCATAAAAGAAACAATATAAAATCACACTCAAAGTATGTCACTAAGTTATCCATTGTAGATGTTTAACATTCGTTTCACTCTGTTCCGCATCCGAATCCACTCATCCCCTATCATTGTCATTACTGTCGTGACGACAGCACAATGCTTGCCACCTAGCCCGTGATGAATAGGAATATTTATTCAGGGAGCTTATCGGGAACCCTTGTAACCGAGACTCCTAGTTTGGGTTTTCATACCCTCGTGTTAATTTGTCCGCCCTTGACCTTTGTCCATCTTCTACCTGTCTTGGCAAACATTTCGCGTCATGGTAACCTTTTTCGCTACATGCCTGAACCAACGTAAACTATGTAGATCGATCACTCACCCCAATGGACGACCACGATTACCTAAAACTCTGCACCGAACCGCGGCGTCTCACCAGATTCGTGCTGTGTGGTGTAGACGACGGTATTCAAACACCGACAGTCTATCTGTATTCTGTTTTCTTAACGGCCTAGTTTCTGCGCTGTATAGCAAAACTAGCAGTTCTACCACAGCATTCATTTAACTCTCCATGGACAGCCGGATGCCTCGGCTGCGCCACAGACGTATTATGTTGCAAAAGCCAATCGAGCCTTCGGTACGCGAGCTGATACTTCATCCTCGATTCGTCATTAAGGTGAAATTAGGCTGCCCAAATAACAAAACTTGCTCTAATACGGTACAATGAAGCTGGGTGCTAGACCAACCCAGTCACTCAATCTATCCAAAAGACCTTGCAACTTACCTGCATCTCCACTTAGTAGCACAGTGTCGTCTGCATACTCCAAATCAGACAGTCTGCCTCCTGGGAGTAAATCGATACCGCTATCCTCGCACGAGGATAGGGCTGTTTCAAGAATCAAATATATGCCAAGGTTGAACAGAAAAGAGAGGTCAACCCTGACGAACACCACTTTCCGTGGTGAACTCGGGCGAAAAAGTGCCTTAAGCCCAGACTCGACTTCGGCTATTAGTATAAAGTGATCGTAATATTGAAATTAGCTTCTCGGGCACACCTTTCAGAGAAAGTCAGCGCCGGAGTTTAGAGCGGTCGACTGAGCCGAAAGGCGCTTTCAGATCTAGGAAGACAGAGATGGTGGGTCTACGAAAAGAATGTCGATGCTCGAAAATTTGGCGGAGAGTGAAGATGTGTTCGGTTCAACCTCGACCGGGTCTAAAACCAGCCTGATTCTCACGCGTGCACTGTTCACGTGCGGCAGACAATCAGCGGAGTATGATGCCAGCGAGAAGTTTAGAGGCAATATTGATTAAACTAATTCCTGTGGTTTTCACAAGAGGATCTGCCCCACAATGCAGTGGGGCGTAACTCCAACGCGGGAGCGTGAACGAAGCACCCGTGTGGGAGCTTCTATAGACTTGTCACACAAGGCCTTTGAAGTTCGGTTAAGTTTGTTGTTCGCTGGTGCGTTGATTATCGGTCCGATTTTCGGGATTAGCCCTTAGCCTTACGCACCCAATGAAACAAGCGGAACGTAGACGAAACAGCACCTTATTGGCTGGGGGCTGCCCAGCTTGGGCGGGCGGTAGCTGTCCAGTGAAGCGCGAAGACTTCTCCTACGGTCGAAAGGAAGCTCCAGGTACCCCTCTCCTACGTCCATCTAGCGGGTTTTTTTCGACCGGTAAACTGCCTTTCACCGTGTTTATTTGCTGGAGTGGCCTCTCCAGTGGCGGGTGTGGATAGAAGCCAGGAGGTGCCCAAGCAGCTGGCTTTGTGAGACTGAGCTTCATCTGGCCTCTACCCGTTGACCTTTCAGGCATGACTGGATCTACGGCTGTGAGAAGCCATCCTGTATGGCTCGCAGGGGCATGGAGGCACGCAAGCCAGCACACCACGCCAAGGTGCAGTCTCATCTTGATGGAGTAATCGCTCTACACCGCCTCCGATGGCTTGGACACGTTTTGCATGTGTCTGCTCATCGTTTACCTTTCCGTACTATTTTGGTATATGCTGGAAGAAATATCGCGGCGGCCAAAACCTGGTATGTTGTAGAGGTATAAAGAAGCTAGCCTCAGCTTAGGTTGATGCAGTCAGCCTTCCAGGCCCAATGGGTAAGAATTATTGTTGGCTAGATACTCTAAGAACTATGGCGCGAATTTCGCGAGGTTTTGTTTTTCGAAAACCCATTCCCCATAACAGAGAAAAAATCTTGAAGATTAGTACGATGAAACTAACAAAAAATAACTCGTTTATTTAACCATTCCTTTCATCAATCTGCACCCACATTTTTATCATTGGTCTTTGCGTTCGAACCACGCTTTTATTTAAGCCGGTGTTTATGTATATAGATAACCCACAAGGTTGAATTCACAGTTCGACGACTCAGGGCACCTCAACCGAACCAATAATCCATCAATTCTCTTTAGCAGGTTGCCGTGAGATTCCTAAATCTTATCCCGGAAAATTGGATACGTAGGAGTACACTACCGCAAACCTCGTGGGTTTCAAGAGAGGCATCGGGCTGGTGACAAACATGAAAAGGAACAACAAGCTTGAACGACTACAGCGCCTACAACTTCAGACCCAACAACCGCTAACATAGTGACAACCAGTATTGCTGCTAGTGCCCCACTGCCTTGTGGGTCAGACTTTTGAGTCGAAGGCTCCAGTTAGGGTTCCCAAAGAAAAACCCTTTCGTCGGGAAGTATGCCGTACCCATTCAGAAAACCGTCCTTCTCATCTGAACACTTCCTCTTCTCACTGCCTAACCTTAGGGGATGCATCCCGTTTGCGCCACCCATGGGACATCACTCAGCGTTCAATTAATGAGGTCAACCACTCAGAAGCTATAAGATTTTTGAAACCAAAATCTCCTTTTCACTTGGCCGCATTTTATGTTCGCACACTCACCAGATCGAGCTAGAACCCATGAAACCTTCCATTTAGATGTATGCTGTCTCCGAAACACGTATATAAGACCCTACTTTAATCATTTCTCTGCATTTTTTAGATTCAACCTCATCCGCACGCTTCAATCTCCGTGAGTCAGGGGGTTTGGCATCCGAAGCTCGTGGTGGGATTGCGCTTGGCGTCTAGGCCGAGCGTTCACTTCTCAACTGGATCCCGGTTGATAGCCGACTGCGCTGTATGCCTTGATGGTTCAGTACGGGTTAACAGCTACAGAACAAAGCGTCGATGCTTATTCGTCGTATCCTTGTTCGCACCTACTGAAACTATTTTTATGCAGTTTACATGTCTAGTTTTTAAAAAATAAGCCTATAGCATTCCTGAAACATCCGTAATCAACGAAAGTCACTGTGCTCCACCCAAAGTGGTTGAGAGACACGCTCTTACAGCGCGATCCCATAAACATCAAGCGCAATCCGGAGCTGGCCGTCGAGAACCGGCTCCGTTCTTACGACTATCAACCATGTACTTACGTGCTGCACTCGGCGTCTCCAGCCACCGGCTACGCTGATCCCCAAGTCTCCCGGTCAGGATTTGCATACCTTCATGCCAGGTTCTAGTTTCATCACCTTTCACTTTTTTCCATCCACACACCTGTCTGGGCAAACAACGCAAGAAGCAGCAATCTACTCAGGGAGGTAAATGTAGGATGGAGTTTACTGAACAACAGAATTCCATTGCTTTTGGAACACTGACTCATGCATGAGGGTACGTAAACCCTGGGTAAGGATCCACGAAGATACCTGGAAAGTTTATTATATTTGTATTTCAAACTTGTCTGAGGACAGACTGTGTGCCAGGAAAATCATGGCGCAATAATCTTTATAAAAGAAAAACGTTCCATGACCGGCTTGTAGGCTGAATACTGCCAGGTTGCCCAGGCCAAGGAAGGTGCATTTTCTGGTGGAATCCACAACCGGAGCCTTCGGTCAACCAAAGCCTGACCCGCAGGGCGGTGTTAAAAAACCGCAGTCTATTAGAGGCCGGTGTCTAGTTCATCAGATCATTTGCCCTTCGGAAGGGGTCAAACGTCCGATGTGCCCAATACACCTTAGTGCCCAATCGAACCGGTGACCACTGCCATAACCGCAAAAGTGTGGGTGTGGTTCGTACGCCCCCTCATGTTCGGTTTGGAATCAGGGTTTTTGGCCAACTCCCCTAGGTGAACTACCGAATGTCGGGTTTTCGTCCTCTCACTTTGGTGGGGAAACACCTCCACCACGAGAAGGCAGCGAGTAGGACTTCCTCAGCAGAGGCTATTCGAGACGTTTGGTTGCATGGAAGCATTTTGAGAGGGCAGGGTTACCCGGGGCAACCCTAGAAACCCAACCTCGATCATACTGAAGCTTTTGGAAAGTTTGTCTGGTAACCGCCACATTATCCTTTTTATGAGTATGCTCTTTTAGCTCTTGCACTACCCATAGGAAACAGATACAAGACCACGACCAGTCGCCCCTAATTTCTATACCACGAGCAACAGCGGTCTTCGCATGCCAATTCAACGCGGTTCCGACCGACGCTGACGACCGTTCAAGTCGTTTTAGTGTAAAACTCCATTAGACGTACTGGCATTCTCCGTCGCGCCTTTCCTTTTAGTCGTGCAGTGGTACACGAAAGCAATCTAAGTAAAAGTGCAGGATGCAGTTAACACACCCGGAACCGTTTTGTTCCGCGATGGTTTGTGCGAACAAATATGCCTGCATTTCAGTCAACAGAAGAGTGCACCCTGGAACCAGACAGTGATGACGGAAGACCGAAATGGTGAGCCGTGGCTAGGATGCTCAACCTAGATACCAGGTAATCCGGCACCTGAAAAATGCTATTCATCGATCCGTCAATAAGCCGACGCACCATGTCAAGCTACAGTCGCCCGGTTCAGTACGGGCCTTATGCGACTCGCCATTCCAAATCCCAGGGCTTTGGCTACCGGCTTCCGTCACCGAACAGTAGACCCTAGTGCCAGGATTTCTCCACCTGTTGTTCATCACACGAAAATGTGTAATAAGGAAGAAATCGCACAGAAGCTCGAACGGGTAGTTTAAAACGTCAAATACCGAGAGGACTTGATCTTTAATGAACTACAACACGGCACCTGAAACCGCGAGAGCACTGTCGAGAAAGAACCACCTCTTCGTATCCAGCCAACCGATCTGCATCAATTACAGCGACTAGTGCCAATCCCTATCGCCAACATAGACCTAAAAGCACCCAGATTGTCAGTGCAGGATCCAGAAGTACCGAGTAATACGCGTAAAGCGAACAGAGTACACGTAGAATACTGCACGCAGACAAACCTGAGTAACGGTAAAGCCAAACAACAGACAAACCCCGGAGGACGTTGGACTCGGCACCACGAGCAGCAGTCAAACAAAGAAAAAATTTCGATACCTGAAAGCACGAGCGGTGCCGAGTTGCCAAACCAAACCAACNAAACCAAACCAACTAATGAAGTCACACATAAAAGTCGATTAGACAGAGACTAAACTACATTTATTCTGTAAAATAAATCAAACGGAAAAATTGATTGAGGAATGTCATAATTAATTAACCACCGCGCAGACGGAGCACGAGATGTAGCGTAGATTCCTTCTGTATGTTGTAATCAGAAAGTGTGCGACCATCTTCCAACTGCTTACCAGCAAATATCAGCCGTTGTTGATCTGGAGGGATGCCTTCTTTATCCTGAATTTTAGCTTTCACGTTTTCGATGGTATCGCTAGCTTCAACTTCGAGAGTAATGGTTTTGCCAGTCAACGTCTTCACGAAAATCTGCATCCCACCGCGAAGTCGCAATACCAAATGAAGCGTAGATTCCTTCTGGATATTGTAATCAGATAAAGTACGACCATCTTCAAGCTGCTTTCCTGCGAAAATGAGTCGCTGCTGGTCTGGTGGAATGCCTTCCTTATCCTGGATCTTAGCTTTTACGTTTTCGATAGTATCACTAGCTTCAACCTCCAACGTAATAGTCTTTCCGGTCAGAGTTTTCACAAAAATCTGCATGCCACCTCGCAAACGGAGCACCAGGTGCAGCGTAGACTCTTTTTGGATGTTATAATCGGACAATGTGCGACCATCCTCGAGCTGCTTGCCAGCAAAAATCAGTCGTTGCTGATCCGGTGGGATACCTTCCTTATCTTGGATTTTAGCCTTCACGTTTTCAATCGTATCACTTGCTTCCACTTCCAGAGTTATTGTTTTACCTGTCAACGTTTTGACAAAAATTTGCATGCCACCGCGAAGCCGCAAAACAAGATGCAATGTGGATTCCTTCTGAATGTTGTAGTCTGACAACGTGCGACCATCCTCTAATTGCTTTCCAGCGAAAATCAAACGCTGCTGATCTGGCGGGATTCCTTCCTTATCTTGTATTTTCGCCTTCACATTCTCAATCGTGTCGCTGGCTTCAACCTCGAGGGTAATTGTCTTGCCCGTAAGAGTCTTCACAAAAATCTGCATCCTGCCAGGACAGTAAAGCAAACGACCTTTGTTCCCCAGACGCACTGCTTATAAATCGCTTGTGTAACTCGTCTCAACGCTGATTGGTTGGCGTGTTAGTTTGGTGACATCTCGGCCCATCCTGCCGAATCTGATTGGTTATGACCCCCCTGCCTACCTTTTACTGCCTCACTGATTGGCTTACGAGTACCACTGCCTGTCCGTAGGTCGTGAAAATCGATGGGTTTGACTAAGCGGTGGGCGTTGGCGACCGATTAATCTATCGTCCAATCGGCGTATGCCAGACGTTTTTCACGCAGTTGTGTCAGTAGTTCTGCGGCACTTCGCACCCGTTCCAGTCTTGACGACGGAATTTTCTAAAACAACAGCAGATTCGTGTTCGTGCCAATACAACTCACCATACAACGCACTACCTGGGAAAGTAAAATGAAATCGACTGAGTGAAAAAACAAGTATGTGAGCGTGCTGAGTCCGATTTCCGGTCTCATGATCAAATCGTTTATAGTGATCTGCGATTTTTTCCAAGTAGGAGATTCATTGCAGAACGGACTAACGATATAACTTTTGTGAGTGGTAGCATCTGCGACTCAGAAAGAGAAAGTACGATGGGGTCTTTTGCCTGCTTCAGTTGTCCATATATATATACTTGGTGTTGACTTGCCTGGTTTATGGAAATCACGTATTCCATAGTATCTGATATGCTCAATGTGACCACTACCCGATAGACTTCGTTTGCACCTAGACTTTGCTAAGGTATCAAAACCTCTCCTCAGAAGTGAACCACATTTGTAATGCCAGCAGAAAATAAAATGTTGCCATTTCGAAAATGAGAACCACTTTCTTCATGCTCAGAAGAGTTAAAAACTGACCTTGTCAGTCAGAATTCGGTCAAGATGATAAGCCAAGGTGTTCCTGTGTGCAGGTATGCAAGAGGAGATAAAACAGTAACTGGAGCGGCGGAACGAATGAACTTCACATGTTCATAGGTTGGTATATAATGTGTAGAGGTTATTAGACGAAATTCAGTCTGTTAAACTAAATCATCACTTCGGTAATAAACCCTGCACAAATGACACAAATAAAACAATTTGGAAACTAAGCCCCATCAGACCATGGATGATTACAGGAGAGGAGGAAGTGAATAGAGAGAGGGACCAACTTTTTTGGGTGGGAGGGTATTTCCGCTTACAAACAATAGTCTGATCGAGTAAAGACTAAAGGAAATCGCATTCAAGTATAACACCCAGGTGCTTCATACAAGTGGCCCTCCCGATCGGCTTTCCTTCAATCGGTATATTAAGGGACTGGGTCGCGAAACATGGTATCTATTAGGGTGAAAACTGAAATTCTGATAAAGTGGAGTATTTAATGAGGTGACAGATGTTTTGACTATATGGTTCGAGTCCTGCCTAACTGAAAATAAAACCGGATATGACGACATCATTCGGATACTTGAAAATGACGAGTAAAAAGTGTGCCACCGATGTACAGTGCAATTGCTCGTTCGTTTCACGTCCTCTTTCCGCTCCCACACGGCTAAATTCAGCCTCGATCGTTTGCACTCCGGTTGGATAACTCTCCGCAATTTGGGTAATTTGTGCTCTTTCAATCTGATATGAAACGATCACGACCCATTCGATCAATCAAAGAAAGAACCCGACAGAACTTTAGTGTTGGTCGGATCCATATTAGAGATTCAGGAAGGAATCCCCATGATGTTCAAGTGATAGTATAGATTTATGATAGCATATTACCGAGTCTAACTTTCATACCAACCCATATGTCCTTTATATTCACGGCCATTACAGCATTCGTCGCTACCGTTTCTTCTTTATTTTTCGCTATGGATCAACGTAAAGGCGATAATGGAAGTAAACATTGATCAGTTCAGTCCGTTGTTATGACGTAACTTATGATGGCTGTGAATGCCTGATCAAGAAATGAGCTTTTATACCAAGAAAGGAGGAGAAAACAGCACCTTAAAGTACACCAGATCTGTCGAATAATGCCGTTGACTGTCGTGTTTCCTAGTTAAACATATCGTCTTTCCAAGTGACAGTCTGCCATCCACTTAACAAGAGGACAGAAATATCCAAATGATCACATATGGTTAAATGGTGAAGAACGGTGCACAGAGTCAACAGCTGAGGGCTGGTCGACAAGAGAGATCACAATGTACATATTTGGCGTTGTCCATGACAGTTCATGATAAAGAACTTTAAGGGAAATTTAAATGCTTCTATGTAATGGGTTTCGTCGAGTATCGAAAAAAATAAAGCATAAACTGAAAAGTTAATTGTACAGCTGTTTGGACTTGATTGGGTCTCATCAGCAGTGCGAAATTAAAGTATGTGCAAAGATGTGACTCTGCATCTCGTTAAAGAATTGTCGGACCAAAGCTAGCTGAAATGAGAGTAAAAGGAATGTTGAGGGAACACAAACATTGACCAAGCGGAATGAAAACAGTAAGACTACCGCCGGTTGGAAGCCACCGAGGAAAGTGCTTTGGGAAAATCCTACTGATCACAAAGACTATGGATAAGAACAAATAATGAATGAAAACTGAGTTACCTAGTGAGCGTGTCTGTGCTCGTCTATGCATGTGCATATGCTAAGATTGGAAGAGGAATCCAGTGAGAAAATTACTAATGCAGGTGGGGCAGTTTATTGCAGTCATATCTGGGGGGGGGGAGCGGCGGAGATCCTGAAATCTCCATTACAGCGTTGTGAAGTCATATTGAGACGCTTTCGTTAATTGCCTCTTTAGATATAATTAGAATTAGAATTCGGAGGAAGCTCCGAATATTTTCAAAGAAACCTTCATCAGTTGTATGCAGAATGACAAAAAGAATTAATAAAAAACAAGATCGGTTGACCGAAACCAGCCATCAGTGAAAATGTGTGTGTTACACGGTGATTTATATGATAGCAGACCCAACAAAATATTGTGTTGCGGTGCCCTGTTAAGATTGACCGAGCATAATGCATTTCAAAAACAAAAGTAAATTATTTCGCACAGTTGACGAGAGCTAAGCAAACAGTTTCCGGATTCACAAAAGTTTTATTTGGTTCACAAAAATAAGCATTACATTTTAGCGACATGATAGTTTTTGGCCACGAATCCAACCATCATCCACTTTGTCACACTACACTCGCGCCGGAATATCTGAGGCGGCGACCTACCAACCAGTGTCCACTAAGTCGACTGTCGCTTGGTCTCTGGGTTGAAACTACATACCCTGGTTTCATCACCACTGATGATCTCCCGAATTGCGTTGGAACGTCCACCATCCAATCGTGTTACGGCCCAGATTCATTCGGACTGCTTTCTGTTGCTCGCTGAGTTGATGGATGAGCCTAGCCTACGGGATGACGCAAACCACGGTGCGACACGTTACAGTTCCTGGACAACTGTGATGAGTCAATCGTCCCAGATGACGCCAGAAAGCACCTACGCGATACAGCGTCTGGACAACGAACCACAGGCCGATTGTGCCGACGAATCAGAAGCCGTGCGGCCCAGACAAAAGCTGAACAACATAAAGAATATGAGCACGTGATTGGTAGATACCTGGATAAACATTAAACTTTCTTTGTACATGCTATTGAACCCCTTTGATTTCTTCCAATAAACGAACTTGTGGTGATCCAGGCCTACACGATGGCGCCTACCCTGGAGCGGCGCNGGCGCGTTACAGTTTCAGGACATTCGCGATCAATCAAGTTTGAATGCTGACGTCAATGGCACGTGCATGGCTTCTGAATACACGTCATTGGCGGATGGTGCCAGCCAATCCAAGACAATTCAGACAGAAGCAACATTATGCAAGTAGTACTGCAATCCAATTGGTGAAAGCCCAGATAGCCAATAATCTGCCTTTGTACATATTATTTAATTACCTTCATTTCTTCCAATAAACGAACTACTTACTGCCA